ACATGAAACTGCAAATTATTACGGATGACTTGCTTTTCCTTTTAAATATATAATAAAGTTATCATGTAAATTTCTGTTTGCATCCAGAGAAAGAATTGATAAATAGAAGTATGCATATAATGATTTTATACACACACATACACACACACATATTTGTGTCATGGTAGCCATCTTTAGGGTGTGGGTGAAAGTGGGGAAAAAGGAAAAAAAAGTCTGGATTCTAAACAGGTCTAATATACACAGATGATGTGTGATGATGAGCAAATGGAAGGCCTACTGATTTTGCAGTCAGGTTACCTAGGTTCAAATTCTTTTCCTTCTACTTCTTTCTTCACTAGTATGGGGTGCTCATCAACAGAGGCAGTGGACATGAAAGCAGCTAGTCATCCAATGCCATTTGGTGTCATGATTGAAAGGGAACAGGGAAAAGCTGGACATGAGGTCAGTATTGCATGTATTATATTCCAGGTATATAGTTGTGACTTTCTCTCCATTTACTCTGCCCCCATCAGCTTATGGGAATAAGTTCCCCCAAAATAAAATCTCTTCTGGTTACATAAGTCGGTGACTTATAGTCTTGAGGCTCACAGAGTTTAAGTGACTTGTCTATGATTATAATGATAAGCACAGAATATGACTCCAGGACTTCCTGACTCTGTGTCCAACAGCCTATCTACTATACCAGGCTGTCCCTCCTCTTAAAAATCCAATTCAGGCTCTGTTTTCCCTTAGCATATTGTTGATAACTCTCTTATGGCACTTGCCCCATTTGCCCAATTTTACTTATGTACTTACTTGTCTTGTCTTCCCTACTAGAATATAAATTCCTTGAGGGTAAAAACTGATCTTTATTTCCCTCATAGTTCCCAACACAGTGTAAATATTGAATGAATTTAAATGTTGCTATTTAATTAGCTGCCAACCCACAAGGTTAAACAGGGTGGTTTATAAAGTAGTGAGGGGAGTGGGGGTAGTTATAGACTGCGTTTAGCCCTGAGTTTCTGGGAGTTATGAAGAATTGGGTGCATAAGATGGATTAGCATATCTTATAACTCATTCAGTAACTGCTCCCATTGACTAGAATCAGAGAAAGTAGCTCACAGAATCATAGATTTAAAGCAGAAAGAGAGCTTATAGGCTATTGACTCCAACCCTTCATTTCTCAGCTGAGCAAACTAAGGTATGCAGAGCTTAAATGACTGGTCCAAGGTCACACAGTTAATAAGTGTTTAAGGAAGGAACTGACTCCAGGTCTTCCTGACTCCAAGTCCACTGCCCTATCCACTACTCCAGAATGCCTCAATTAGTGTTTTTTAGGATTAGGAGAAGCAGAATTGCCTAGTTAGTTGTCTTCATTCACTTATTCTGCCATATTTGACTGTCTTCTTATTCTTACATTTGATATCCTGGCACTGGCTCTTTTAAGAAAATCAGCAAAGTCACACCTCCACAGTCTCCCACCTGAGTATCCTGGAAGACTTGGCCCTGGCTACTTATCAATGAGGTAAAATCTGTTTTCCGCACTGCCCTATAGTTACCCAGTGTCCTCATGCTACCAGTCAGTTGTTCAAAGTCCTTTACTAAATTATCTGACTCAGGCTTACTTTCCATTCCTTCCTGTATTCTTGTTCCAAAATGATTTTCTTCCCTAGAATCATAAAGCTTTAAAACTACAAAGAACTTATATCTAATAAAGTTCCCATGCATCATTTTACAGATCAGAGGAGGTAAAGACACTAGCTGTGGGACTCTGGGCAAGTCACTTAACCTCTGTTTGCCTCAGTTTTCTCATCTATAAAATGGGAATAATAATAGCATCTACTTCCCAAGGTTGTCGTGGGGATCAGCTGAGAGAATAATTGTAAAGTGTTTAGCACAGCGCTTGGCACATGGCAAGCTCTATGTAATGCTAACTATTATAATTGCGATGATAATGATTATGATGACTTGGCAAAGGTCACACCTTGAGTTAGTGGACGAGCCTGGACTAAGACCATAGATTCCTGATGTGTCTAGGATTTTTTTCCCCTTTCCATTATTTATGAAGCATACATGTACACTTTGTATAGCACATAGCATCTCCTCCCATAAAAAGTCTTATTCCCTCAGTGTACAACCTCAGCTAAAGGTTAGGAGGAAAGCAAGCAGAGTAAATTCATCCATACTAAGATGTGAATGACTGTTAAGTATTATCAGGTTCTTAAAATGGATTATGTTTTCTTCTCAGAGCATTTAAAAATATCCTTAGTAAATGGCTCTTTAACATAAAGAATTTCAGGCAGGTACAAAGCAAAGCTTTGTCAGTATTATTGGGGAGAAATTTGGAGGCAGGGGCCATTTCAGTACCTTCTTAAATGATAAATTGGCACAACTCCTACTTCTGGGCCCTGTTCTTGAGAGTCTTTGACCCTTCTCCCTTCTCCTCAAATGAGGGTTGGTACTTAAAATCACTGCCATCAGCTCCCTGACCTGAGCAATATGGGGCCTGGGATTTTCTTATCCTCTTTCCGCTTCTGAAATGTTGCAGATTCTAAGTAAGCGTTCTTCTGGCTCTCTACATTTGGGTCGCAATCAACAATGACAGATCTTGTGGACCATTTCAGGGAGTCTCACCCGTGTGATATTTCAGGGCAGGATAATGAGAGGGAGCTGTTGTTGGGAGTTCTTAGAATTTACTTCCCAATGGGTAGGTCCCTGCAACATGAAAGGTCTTAAACCTTGCATGAAAAGTCTGGTATCTAGACTCTAGCTTTGGAATTTGGTGGCACTGGACTCCCCTAGAGAGAACTGAATTCACTGCTTATTGTTCTTGGTGTTTTGTATGAATCAAACCAGATCTTCCTAGTATCTAAAGCTATTCAAGGAAAAAAGAAAAAACCCACTGTGATGCTCCAATAAAATTACTAATATTTCCTAGTTCTAAATGCACTGAATACTATCCCCCAAGCAAATATGCCTAACTGCTCCTGCCTCAAAAACTTATGAATTTAGAGCTTTTGGTGCTTGTATTTGATGAAATCATTAATATCAAAGAGAGTCTACTTATCCTTCAGGAATACATAACTGGGGCAAAAGGATGCTAAGGAGAAAGTTCTCAGCAGAGATGTCACAGCCACATTATTTTTGTTTGATTTTTATTATTAGCTGGGAAGATGGTAGGGAGGAAACAACTTTCAAACACTTCTATTGATGGTGGTTACAGAAATGTATAAGAGTCAGGGTTTGTAGCTTTTCTTAAAATTTTTTTACTAGATGTTTTGTTTACACATCAAATTCATTTGAAACTAAGAATAAAAAAGAAAGAGAAAAATAAGGCATTTGAGCAAGACCAACCATTTCTTCAACACAGTCTGGTAGGCAATGTATCACATTCATAGTCACTCACTTCTGTAAAGAAGAGAGAAAGGTACATTTTCTTATCTCTTCTCTAGTGCCAAACTTCTAGGTCATAATTTCATTGTTTTCAGTTTCTTTTTCCTTTTTCTCCATGTGTTGTTAGAGTTGTTTTCTATATTCTTTTCCTAGTTCTGGTCCACAACATTTCAAAAGGGGTCATTTCATAATTTTATTCTCTTGGCTGCTAGTATTAGGGAGCCATGTGCTCCTGAATAATTAATTCTCAGAGGTAGGTAAAAGGTTAAGTTTTCACCTGTATCACTATATAAAAGAAAATTTAGGATTATCCATCCTCCAGAGCACATGGATAGGGAAAAATAAGTTCACTTGTGCCTGGAATAAAATTTAAATGATATTTTGGAGCTAATTATTTTTTATTTTATTAATTTTTAAATTAGTTTTATTAATTAATTATTTTTTCTTAACTTGGATTAGAGGAGGTAGACTATTCTCAGTGGTGTAAAAGTTCTAGAAGATTGCATAGTGTATCTTAAAAAGAGAAAGGCTTTCCCAGCTTGAACTAAGCTGAAAACTATTTTAACTTCATTAAAACAAACAAACAAAAAATAAAAAAACTACTTCTCTTCCCTGGCTTCACTAAGGAACATTCATTCTCAAGTCCATTGTGAAAAAAGGAAAGGCAAATTTTGGACTTTAGGAAACCCCACGTTGTACTCTTTTTTACAAACCCATTTTACAAATGACATGTGCTTTATGTTAGTTTCTGAGATTGTAGCTTCTTTATTCTTCATAACCAATCTGTTAAGCATAAGGCAAACAGAAAGGCAAACTACACAGGAATAGGAGTTAGAGTTAGCAAAGACTTTAGACTCAGAGGATGTTGAATCCAGGTCCCTTATTTCCAGATGGGGAAAAACCAATGCCCAGAAAGAAGAGCTGAGATTTGAACCTAGGTTTTCTGTATAAAGAATCAGAAAACAGGTTTCAGATCCTGGTTCTATGACTTTCTTCCTGTCTGACCTGGTGCAGACCAGCCTTTCTAGGCTTTCATTTTTTCCACCTGTAAAATGAAAATGTTGGACTCCACAATCTGGGAGACCACTCTCAGTTCCTAATCTTATCATCTGAAGTTCTGCCAAAAGTCATGGGCAAAAGTTGAAAAGCCCGTGTACCTCTCTCTAAAAACCATTACCCAAACTTTGTAAAACTGCCAGACTTTCAACGTTCTGGGAAGATTACGTAAATGAATTCGATGGTCATTTATTTGCAAATCCCAATTTTCAATTTTGCGGCTGTGACACATCCCTGTGCATCTGTTTGTTCATTTACAATCTGATACAAACCAAATAAAGCTGCTTGACTCCTGCTAGACAGATTTGTGATCCACAGGGGGTGAAATGTGGCAATAATAATAATAATGATAATAACAATTTGAAAAGTAGTAAAGTTCTGATTTCTTCATGAGTTGTTTCTCAAAACAAATTTCAGAGGCATGGAAAACAAATTTAGAATCAATAACAATTAAATCATGCAAAATTAAGGAAACTCAACATCTTATTCCTACAGAAAGAGACAGGGTTATAAAAAAAACATAGAGAAATTACAGAGGGGAATAAGAGTTCAGCAAGGTCATTGAAAGTTACCTTTTTCAGGTCAGGCAATTCTTTAGGCAAAATATGACTGTGGATATCAATTTTCATCTCCAAACTCTCAACTGAAGACAAATGTTATAAAGAAGATGTTTTGTCCAATGATACCTGTGCAGGCCATTGAGTTAATCACGTTACTTGAATTTCTACAAAGACTTTTATCCTCCCTAGCCAATCAGTAGCTTGAGTCTCCTCAGCTGGAATCTCATTGGAGCTGTCTCATTCAAGTTAAAAGTACTCACTGTTTGTCAAATCTGCTGTGGGTCAGCAACCCTTAATGCAATTCTCTCTGGGCTAATTGTTAAAATCTGAACTCTGGCTTACCTCACCAGGTTAAAAATACTCAGCTGCTTCAGGCTAGAATAGGATGAAAAGAATATGCTTAGGATCATAGAAATAGAAGAGATCTTAGAGGTTGTCTAGCTCAAGTCCCTCTATTTTACAGATGAGGAAACTGAGACTCAGGGAGGTTAAGTAATTTGCCCAAGGTCACACAAGAAACAAGAATCAATGGTAGGATTTAAATCCAAGTCTTCTGATTCCAGAACCAGTGTTCTTTCCACTGTACCACACTGATTTAAAAAGGATTTTTTTTTAAATATAGCAGGTTAGAAACATTTTGGGGGATCTTCCAATTATTGGAGGACTACATTTTTTTTTTTCTATCTGTTTTATCTTTGTCAGTAGAGGAGGCTAATGCATGCAGGATAAAAGTTTCTGTTTTAGAACACTAAGTATTAGATGGATTTGATGTAGAGATTAACCAAGAGGCAGGAGCTGAAGCTGACTCCAAAGTTTTTGAGAAATAGGTATATTTCTTTCTATTCCCATTTGTTAATCATGAAAGATTTTTCCAAAATTCTATTCAGATACTACTCTCTTATTTGTCTTTTTGTTAGATTTGTTTAAGCCTGAAAAGGGCACATTCAAGTCTCCAATTATTCTAGTTTTGCTGCTTATTTTCCCCTATAATTCAATTAATTTTTCCTTTAAATACTTAGATGCTATGCCATTTGGTCCACATATATTAGCTATTGATATTATTTAATTATCTACAGTACCTTTAAGCATAATGCAATTTCTTTGCTTTTTTTTTTTTTTTTAGTGAGGTAATTGGGGTTAAGTGACTTGCCCAGGGTCACACAGCTAGTAAGTGTCAAATGTCTGAGATCACATTTGAAGTCAGGTCCTCCTGATTCCAGGGCTGGAACACTTTCCACTGCGCCACCTAGCTGCCCCTGTTTGCTTATTTGTTTTAACCATTTCCTTTTTCAGTTTTGCCTGTCTGAGATTATGATTACTACCCCTGCTTTTTTGAATCCTCCTGAAGCATAATAGATTCTGTTCTCAGTGCCTGTGAATCTTTATTTTTCAAGATGGTTTCTGCTTTCTAATACATCTGCTACCCTCTTCTGTTGTGTAGGTGACTTAGTTGTATATTTCTCTCCGATCTAACCTTGTTTATTTTTCTTCCTCTTTACAAAGAAGAAAGGGGTAAAGAAACAGAAGTAATTATCAAACTAGACATCTGTAACTGAAGTGGACTGTTCGTATTCCTTTGCCTTTCTTCTCTTCACCAAGCCCAGACTCTGCTTTCTGATTTTTACAAGCTCTAGCTTTCCCTTTATGATCTTCTGAAGGTGAAGTTGATTTTGTTTGTGACTATTTCCTCTCTGACTTTCCTCCCCCTAATAACTGCTCTCTCTCCTCTTTCCCTGCCCATGCTTGCTTCACCGTTGAGTTTAACATATTTATATACCAAACTACAGGTATTTATGTGTATACGTGTAAGCCTCTTTTGTGCATTTTAGATACAAATGGGTTAAGATCTTGAAATACCTATTGCTCCACCCTTCTATGTTTGTATGCTCTTTTTCTCATACATTCCTTTTATGTAAAAAAATAGGTTCTTCCTCCAACTTCACTCCACCCCCCCCCCACCCAGTGTATTCCTTTTCTCTCCTTTTTATTTCCTCTCTCTCTTAAGGCTAATGCCTTTTCTTCTTCTTCATTAGAATATAAGCACTTAATCACCATTTAGCCCTTTCAAATGTATTTACTTTCCTAGGTTTCTCTGGACTTCTGTATTTGCATTTTAAAGTTTCTATTCAGCTGTGACCTTTTTTTAAAAATCAAGAATGCTTGAACATCTTCCATTTAAGATCCATCCCCCCTCCCTTAACGTTACTGTCCCCCCTCACCGTAGGCTTTATAAACAATTTTAAAGAGTGGCATTCTTGATTGTAAACCTTTATCTTTTGCCTTTTCAGATATCATATTCCAGATTTTCTCCTCTTCAAGTAGTCGCAACATTGTCTTGAGTGACTTAAATTCTTTCTGGCTGCTTACAATATTTTTGTTTTGACTTGAAAGTTTTAGATTTGGGGCAGCCAGGTGGTGCAGTAGATAGAGTGCCAGTCTGGAGTCAGTAAAACTCATCTTCTTGAGTTCAAATCCAACTTCAGACACTTAGTAACTGTGTGACCCTGGGCAAGTCACTTAACCCTGTTTGCCTCAGTTTCCTCATCTGTAAAATGAGCTAGAGAAGGAAATGTCAAACCACTCCAGTGTCTTTGCCAAGAAAACCCCAAATGGAGTCATAAAGAGTCAGACACAAATGAAAAATGACTGAACAACAACAATTCCTAGGTATTTTCACTTTGAAGTTTCTTTTAGAAAGTGATCAGTGGATTTTTCCTATTTTCACTTTGCCCTCTGGTTCTATTAAATCTTGTTAGTTTTCATTGATATTTTCTTTAAACATACTACTCTCGGTCTCTATCTATCTATCTATCTATCTATCTATCTATCTATCTATCTTTCTGTCATGGCTTTCAGGGATTCAGTTCCTTCTTAAACCACCTCTCTGTAACCTGTTTTCTAGTTTAGTTGCTTTTAATAACATATACTTTACATTTTCTTCTTTATAAAAATCTTTTGAGTTTTTCCAAATATTTCTTGTTGCCTCATGGAGTTATTGAGTTCTTATTGCTCCATTCAATTTTCAGAGCACCATTGCACAGGTTAGATTTCCCATTCTTTGTTCTAAGCTATTTATTTTCCTTTTTTTTTTCTTCTCAAACTTTCCTTCATTTCTAATTTCATTTTTATTTCTTGCTTCACTTATTCTAGCCATCATGGCTAATACATTTCCCCCCCCTCTGAGTCTCTGCTTATAATTTTTGTGAAGTTACTCTCTTGTTCTGGTTTAGTTTTGGGGCATTTCCTAACTCATAGCATTTCTTCATTGTGTTTATCGTTTTCTTTTTTGGGATTAGGATTTTGTTCTCAGGCTAGTCACCTAAGGCACTATTGGATGGATTAGGTAGGTCTTGTTTGGTCTTGTCCCCTCTACAGTCTGGTTGCTGCTATCACTGCCACTCTCACTACTGATCTGGATAGGGTTGCTACTAGGCCCATGCCTAGGCTACAATCCTTGATTTCTGTTTCATTCACCTGTCATTGTGAATTCTGGCCTCAGTTTCCAACTCCTTTACTTTACGGGATCTCTAGTCAGGAGCTGGTTCTGATTGTTCCTGTGGTCCTGAATGGCCCCATTTGGGGTTGAAATCATTCTTGGCTCAGGCTTCTTGCATGTTCTTTTGGTGCTCGTACCCTGATATTGTTGTTGAGTCATGTCAGGCACGTATGACTCTTTGTGACACCTTTTGGGGTTTTCTTGGCAAAGATACTGGAGTGATTTTCTATTTCCTTCTTCAAATCATTTTACAGATGAGGAAACTGAGGCAAACAGGGTGAAGTGACTTGCCCAAGGTCATACAGCTAGTAAGTGTCTGAAACTGGATTTGAACCTGAGTCTCCCTGACTCCAGACCTGGCACTATATCCACTGTGCCACCTAGCTGGCCCACAATATCCTGTTATTGAGGTGGCCTTATCTCTTCCTGTGGCTCCTAATGCTTCAATGGGTGCACAGCTGAGGCCTCTCTCCCTCCACAGTGATCTCTCCCTCCACTCTGACTCTGTTCTCTTCTTCTATTCTGACAGGCTAGAGCTTCAGGTCCCTGATTAATGCATTTCCCTCCCCATGTTCAAAGCACTGGTAGGCATACTGTCTTTCTGCAGGAACTCAAACTGGCTTCTCTGGAGCAACCCCTCTTCCTGCCTTCATGGGCTTACAGCCATTTGTTAGACCCCTTAATGGCATAACTCCTCTGCCATCCTTTGCCAAATTCAGGTTGTCTTTTTGTGTAGTTATGAATTGGATAGAGGAGCTTACATCTGTTTCTTTTAAAAAATCATTTGCCTTTCTGGTGTCCTTTTCAGGTATTTCCTGATGTTTAGCTGGGAGAGCTAGGCTTCTCTATGACTTTTCAGGTCACCATCTTATTCAGAAACCTTTGTTCTAATGCTTCTATCCTGGATGAAAGGAATATTCATGTGGTGACTAACAGGCATGAGGGATTTAGAAAGGAGAATGGAGGGGAAGATGATATATTTAGTTTGGGTGTGTTGAGTTTGAAGTCACAGTTGAGTTACCCTAGTGGAGACCTTCCAGAGCATTGGCCAGCATCCTCTGGCTAAATATGGACTGGAGTACAGTGATGTCAGTTTAAAAATGGTCATCCTGCTTCTGACTTTTATTTTTTGAGGACTCTAATACTCCATTGGATCTGTGACCTCATTGACATGGCTACTTCCTACAGTGATATAGATAACAACCCATCCATGCCTGCTCGTTCTATACAACTCTTTCCTCTCAGAAATCTACCACCAGAAGTCCATATAATATTGTGAGAGATGATCTCTGAGAATCTCTCAGGAATGAAGCCTCCTAAGGGAGTTAATCTCTTCTTGTTCTGTTGAAACTTGTAAAGAAACATGCTTTTCAACACATCTTGTATTTTATCAGACCTCCTCCTCTCTTTCTAAAACTATTTGCTCTAAAAAAGAAAAAGAAAAAGAAAACCTCCCACTTTTCCCGTCTCCAGGTAAGTTGTAAAAGTGTCTTTTGTTCTTTGTTGCTGGGGTAGATTGCCCGAATAGATTGTACCCTCAGAGCTTGCATTAATGAGCCCTAAGGAGGGCCTGGGGAGGGGATTTGGTTGGCACCATTTTTTTGGTGTTCTGAGGGAGCCCTTT